TTTGGGCTAGTTCTTTCATTTATGAGAGCTCATATTTTAAAGTTAATTTGGTACTACATGTAGACAATTGATAAACATGTATAGCCATATATATGGATGTAGACATAACATACAACATTCACATGTACACACAAAGACTTAACAGTTTCAATTTTAGAATTTTAGCCACAAGTAAAACTTACTAGTTTAAAAGGACAATTGTATTTAAACTATGTCTTCATAAATGGAAAGTTTAAAGTTTATCTGCATCATTGGCCTCACTGGGTTTTAGAGAAAACAGGGTAGCAATTTATGTCTCAAAACACGGAGAGAGAAAGAAAGAGAGAGAGAATCTAAGAAGAGGTTTTAAGAAGAGGTTTGTGTATCTTAGAGGGAAAAAAATGGATGCTGAAGTAACTAGGTGGCCTCTTGTTTCCAATTGGACCACTGAGATTTAGGGCAGAGCCCACATTGAATCTCAGGTCACTAAAAGAGAAAGACATCATGGGACCACCATGGGACCAAGCCACACAATGCTTTTACAATACACTTCCTCACAAAGACATTTCTCTAAGTGTTTAAACCACATCATTTCTTATCTCAGGCCCAAAGAAAGAATAAGCCTCCTGTAGTGTATTCAGTTGCCTCTAATATTGTCTTTCTTGCCTAGTCATGACACACACCAAGGTTAAATTCTTTTATAATATAATCTCTGGTACACCCAAAAGCCAAAGAGGTAATGGGATACAAAAGAGAGCAGTTTTATACCTAAGAGCAATCTGTTCATGACTCTTTAGACTCCACAAGGAAAAAAGAAACCCCCAATGGTTCAATAAATTGCAAAAGTCACCCAAATATCAAACCAAAACACTCACCCCCTGACTGGAAACCAAATGCAGGCCACTGCAGTGAATGCGCAGAATTTCAACCTCTGGGCCACAAGGAAGACTGGCCTTTGTTGCTATTCTCCTAGGGATAATTATTCCTGCAGGGACAGTGGAAAAAGGATTTTATCTTTGTTTTAGGTCAGATTTTTGCTCTTTAATTTTATCAAGAGAATTTTGAACACTAACCATGACACTATTATGTGTCTTTCTTTTAATTTAATTTTTCCATCAATACAAATAAGGCAATTATGTAAAATAAGAGACCTCTAAAATCTATTTTTTTTTCATTTAAGAGTCTTTCTAATTTAAACGAACCATCTTTTGGCCATTAATTTTCAATGATGTACTTATTCCAAAGTGACTTAATCCAGTAGCCTCTTCGGAGAAGGAGCAATCGCAAAGATCCCCTCATGCTCTGAGAAATAAGGTAAGATAGCAACAGTGACTGAGATAGCAAAAGCCTCTTATGAATGGGACTTCTTATGACAAATACTCCCAAGAACTTGCTGCATTCAGAACAAGAATAGCAAAATCCCGGGTGCCCTGCCATTTTCATGCTAACCACTGAACGTAATCCAAAAATTACATCCCCGCTGGAGAGTGGAGACCAAGAGAGGTGCTTCCACGTGGTCACAAGACAAGCTCCCAAGGACATAAAACAAAATGAGAGGAAGCTATCTGGTACCTTTCTTTATGATGGAACAACACAGAAAGACAGAACAAAGGAAAATACTTTCTGGGAGGAAAGGGATCAAACAATATGAGTTCCTATCACAAAGTGCCAAAAGTATGCCAGAGTCACTGCACCAAGACTAGTCACACAAATCCTTTTTCTACCATGAATCATAACCTTGTAAACAGTGATCTTTACCTTCTGTTCAACTGGATTATACAGAGAGAGAAAGGCCAGGAGCCTGGCTGGTAAGAATTTCTCACCGCTTTTGCTGGGTTCTGTTTACTGCAGCTTTCTAGAACAGAGAGGCTTTGTTGACCCTGCTCAGGCACCAAACTGTAGGGAACAAAGGCCCCTAAAGGTTTGCTGAAAAATCACTGACATGAGGCAGGTTGATTAATAAGAGAAAAGACGTACAAATTTAGTTAACGTATACACATGAGCCTTTAGAATGGAGACCCAAAGATACAGGAGAAATTGTCAATTTTTATGCTTAGGTTCAACAAAGCATGAACAGCCATGTAGAAAAATGATTGAACAAAAAGGATTTGATCTGATGCTAACAGACCGAGTGGGGAAACACAGCAAGGCTGTTTGTCTAGATTTTTCTTGGCATCTCTGTGCGGCGTTCCTTCCTTCTGAGTATGTCTCCCACAGGTGAATTTATTGGACGAAACTATTTTTTTACAAAATATTTTTGGAAGTCTCTCATATCCTGAGGTCTCAGAAACCTCTGCATCAGAATCTCCTAGAGATTTTATCAAACATGCAATTGCCTGGGCTCCACCCTAGACTGATGATCAGATTGGTGGGAGTGCTTTTTCACATTCTCCCAAACTGTACTTTCAGAGTCATGGATTTGAATGATGTACTGTGGCTGAGCCACCACTGGTCTCAAGCTTTAAATTTTCTTTTCCTCCTCTTGATGATTACAATCAGTTTCACTTTCTAGTTTCCTTTCCCTTCCCTAAAGGCAATTACTCAAAACAGGGAGATACATTCCCCACTCCACCTCCCCTTTATACTGTTCTTTTCCCATTTACTTAGGCAGACAGAAAGCTTTCTGAAGAGCAAATCAGCCTGGTGCCCAGCTTTTCAGAAGAGCAGAGAACAGACTGCAGACATGAGTCAGTGAAATGAGAATGCATAAGCACCCTTGTTCTGGAATGCAAACTGTAAGCTGGGGAGCTTCTTACAGTGCTGGCGAGTTCCTGAATTGTCCTGGTGCTTATGGATTCCACATGCCTTTACCAGTTTGGGTCTTTATCAGTTGTTTGGGTTTTACTGTTTGGGGGTTTTTTCATTAATAATTTCTGTGGCTTTTTCTAGTGTACACACTCAGGCTCCTGAAGTTTCTAGAACTGTTCCCTGGGTGCAACGAGTAGCTAGGAAGAGAGGGGGCCTTGGCAAGAGTGTTACATCCACTCAAGCACAGACTTTGCTGATTCAAAGCTAGACCTAAGGGAATTACTCTTTATGGGCTTTTCTGTTGCTGTCGTTTTATTTGAAAGAACTAAGTCAGAGGATTTTTCCTTGTAATTTTAAAAGTAAACATTTATTCTCAGCAGATATTATGAAAGATGAAACCAACACTGCAAACCCAACTCACATAGTGGGGAATTTTGTCCTGAAATGTTTGATCACTTTAAAGTGGGAAGTGGAAGAAATAATTCTTACAGTGGGTGTTTTTTTTTTTCCATTTCTTATATAAAAACAAAATCCAAAGCTTAGCATTTATGGTTATTGCTGCATGGAATGCTGACTAGCAGCAGAAAATAATTTCTCCTCAAAAACATAGTGACCTAATCTCTGATCTAATACTGGTCTAATTTCTAATGATGGAAAGCAGATCACTGCTGCCTGGAGGTGGAGGGGATTGAGTAGGAAAGCTTACAAATGAATCTTTTGGGATGATAGCAATATTCTAGTTGTGGTTACGTAGGTATAAGCATTTGTCAAAACTCATCAAACTGTACACTTAAAATGAATGTGTTTTATTGTATATAAAGTGTAATCTCAGTAAACTTGATTTTTAAAAATACATACAGACCTGCTAGAGTTCTGGCATAGGATAGCGTAGCAGGGAGAACTAAGACAAAAAGATGCCTTTCCCACCAAACACCTGTGGGGAAGGATTGAGGGGGCGATTGCTGGGGAGGCAGGAAAGGGAAACTGGCTGCTCTGCCGTCGGCCCTAAGGACTTGTGAATGCTCTGCAAAGTCATATTTGGGGATGGGATGGGAAAGAGGAATTCACTGCCAAATACCTCAGGTTACTCTTTTGTATAGAATAGGTTTCTGGTCAAGAGTGATGTTAATTCTCTCTGCATGAGTAGGTTGACCAGAAAGCCAGGCCCTGACCAGCACCTTCGTAGTCGGCCTGCATGAGGGACCTTGCAGTGTTCCATGTTCAGGTGTGTCTGGAGCCACTGGATGAAAGTGAAAGTGGCTCCCTCCAGGGCATCGTTTCTATAATGTGGGTGGAGAAAAAAGGAAATTCATCCCAGAGCACTTTAAGGATGAGGAAATGAGGCTCAGTGATGTGACTCAAGAAATATCCTAGAGCTCAGCAAAGAGATCACCGAAATCCGGGTGTCCTGTGTGTGTTTTTTCCCCCCTTCATTCAAGATTGTCTGACTCACTGTTTTATTCACTCCCCCAGGTAAAAGGGAAGTTGATGTTTAAAATATCTCTAGACCAGCACTTCTCAAAATGTGGTAGAGGGATTCCTGCCACTGAATTCTAGAGCACTTGTCAAAACACCGGGTTTCTAGCTCAATCCAGATTCACTGCACCAGAATCTCTTAAACCAGGCTGTCAACCTAAAATAATCAAAAGGCTCAGCATCCAGTTGAAAGAGTTTATTCCAGAGCAAAGTGTGATGGCATCGGACAGGGGAGTAGAGCCACAGTGAAGAATGGTGATCAGTGCTTCTGTGTGGGGAAAAATGAGGACCATTTACACAGGCAAAGATGGATGTGCTGAACAGAATTACATTTTCCATAGAAAGGCTAATGTACAGACAGAATTTGATTGGCTGCTATCGATTACACTCTAAGGGGGTTGCCTGACATTCTATTGTAAACAGGTAACCATCACGAGGGTCTCTATCTCCAACATTATTTAGTCTAGGTTTGAATAACAAACAGGGAGTCTGGTTAGTGTATAACATCCCAGCACAAAGGTCAGAAAGCAACAGTCATGTACCAGAGAAGAAAAACAGTCATGCTAATGTGAGTCAGCTTTTAGCATTTTAACTTTCCCCCTTGGCACACTAAATTTGGAAGGTCCTGAAATTTTATTTTCTCTGTACAGTGTCTTTTTACAATCTCTCAAACCACAGTTTCCAAAGATATCTGGGACATATTCCCAGTGAGGGTGAGCTCAGTGCTCACACATTCAGTTTCAGTTTCTCCAGAGCAGGAATCCTGATAGCCTCCCGTCAGTTTCACTTTCCTTTCTCCTTTCATAAAAGCACAGACCTGCCAGGTAGCACCCTGGGTGGAAGCCTCTTCAGCATTTGCTCGGGATCAAGGAGCTGAACATAACATCAGCCTGGACACCAGCTTTTCCAAATTGCAGGGAAACAGCCATCATGAGGTAAAGCGTAAAGGGTCCCTGCTTCTCTGATAGGAAATTGAAAATTTCTCACAGATCTTGTTCTTGCAGACAGCTTCCTGAATTGTGCTGTTTTTAGTGTTTGCTTAGAGATTAAATATGTATTGAACTAATTCAATCATAAATCTACCTTGCCAATTCATGCATTTTTATTTCTGTGGCTCTGTCTGATTTACAGAGTCAGGCAGCCTAAGGACATTGAGGAAAGTGAGAGCTGGGAGCTGGGCAGGTGACAGGGGCTTATTGAGAGAGCCTCCAGGGAACACACGCTCGGATCCTTTCAGGCCGAGGCCTGGAGAACAGTTACTAATGGTCTTGGTTCCTCCATTGTTTCTTGTATTTAAAAAGACTAAATCAGAGGTTTGTGGATTTTGTTGTAGTTATTTTAAAAACATGCTTGTGTCTCAGCAAACATGCTAAGGATGAATTCAGCACTGCAAAACTCCAATTCATGGTGAGGTCACTTTTACATTGAAATGTGCTTTTTCAGAATTGGGGGATATGTCTACCTGAGTTGTCCTCTTACTGACCTGCTAGACCTCCCACGTGCACTATGAGCAGGGAAAGCATTGCAGTCTCTTAGACTGTCCTGCAGAACAGCTGGACCACAATCAACCTGAGTGCTCCATTAGAATACAAATTACTGGGTCCTGCATGCTGATATTCTGATTAAGTAGAACAGAAATAAGGTACAGAAAACAATACATAGTTAAAGAGGACAGCAGGTACTTCATAGGCACACCGAAGTTTGAGAAGTCCTGGCTTATAGAAGAGATGTTCATCTCCAAATCCCCTCTTCCTTAAATGTATACAAGGCTTCCTACATTGTATGTGTGTAAATGTGAGGGAGAAAGCCCAAGTAGGTAGGAGGAGGGAGGGGTGGGAAGGATGTTAACATAAAGCAAAGCTTTCCTGTGTACGGGGTATTTTAGGGATGGGAAACTGGTCATTGGAATCACTGCCAAAAAGTGATGTCTTCCTAGAGCCTTGCTACGCAGTGTGGTCCGAGTCTGAGATCCCCTGGGAAGTTGTTAGAAAGGTAGCGTCCTAGCCCATCTGAATCCAGATCTGCAATTTAACAAGATCCCCAGGTGATTGGGTCCACACGCACACTAAAGTTTAAGAAGTACGGCTCTGGAGAGTTCCTTGGCTCACTTTTTGAAGTGATGGGCTCCTTGGATTGTGCCTGTTCTGATCGACTTATTCAGCATGGTTGTGCCTGTCCCTTCACCTAGCCGGCTGGAGTGTAACCAGAACATCTGTGGTACAAGCTACCTCAGAGGTTTCCCTCAAAACCCCCACTCTCACATTTCAAGAGGGCCTCTTTCTGAAAACTTCAAAGTTCCACTCTAGGAATGGCTTTGACTGGACCCTGGAAGGAGATGTGGCATCTACCCTGGGGTCTGTGGGCAGTGCCAACAGGCTGTGATGGTCCAGGTAGGTGAGCAGGAGAAGGATGAACAACTAAATAGGTTGATCCCGGGAATTTTCTAAGAACTAGCAGTGCTAGCTTTACCTGTTTGGTCACCAAATCATGGCTGTAGCCTGAGGCCATGGGAAATCTCCATCTGAGCCCAAGGGAATCCCACCTCCCCAAGGTGTTCCATTAGATGCAGACTATTCAGGTGGGATGGGCATTCTGCTCCCCACCTTTCACCTGAACCTAGACATTACTTATCAAGTGACTGCAGCCAACATCCCACCTTCTTGTTTATATTACCTTAAATATCTGAGTTTAATTACTGTTAACTGATTTATGTATACATATAAGGAGACTGTAGAGTAATTTTCAAAAGCACATGTGAGATAAATTAGTAAGTGAGAAAACCTTGGCAAATGGAGTTTTTATTTTAAGAAAGGCAATAGTATTTCAATGCAAGCCTCCTGAACGCTGGCTCTGGGATTCATGCTGTTTTGTTTTGTTTTGTTTTGAGTCCAGATCTCAGGACATCCAGTCCAACATACTTTGTTCCAAACTGTACTACAAGGAGAGATCACGTGTCAAATACCTCATCAAATTGGTGACCTTAGGGAGGAAGGCTTAGGAAAAATCAAGGGACCTGAATTTCGATTTTCAATAGGTTTTATAATCATAAAGTGACATGCATAGTTGGCTATCTTCCTGAATGAACTGTTCAAAGTCATCATTAAATGTCTTAGCATGGCCAACTCTGGCATTGGTAACGTGGTGGTAGGGATGGAATTTCCCTGAGAGTTCCATACCCAAGGCTCATTCACAGGTCTGGGAATACTGTTGCTTTCCTGTTTGCCCTACACTTTCTTGAGCAATCAATATCCTCTGAAGCTGTTACCTCACAGGACAGGAATACGTTTCATCTTGGAGGGAGAATTTTTATCAGTAGGGGCTGAAAATTTAGTTTGGTAAGACCCCTCTGACACATTGAAATGTCAAAGCCCGCCCCTCTCTTCTCAAAAAGAAAGATAGTATCATCAAGCCTGCAAAATGGTTTCTGGTTTTGTTAAGGCAAATACATCCTAAGTCACCCGTCATTCTGCAGGTCTCCTGGATACTCCCTATCCACCCTTAGAGTGAGTTTTCAACTACTATTTTCAGGCACCTATATGCACCTATAAATCTGCAGACACGTTCTATTGATTGGAAACTCACCTTTTCTTTCCTCCCTCTAAACTTCCTAATGCATCCATCAGCAGCTTTAACTTATGTTAAGTGGTCATCTTCATAACTTACTCTTAGTGTTTAATTTTTATTCATTGCTAACTTGAGTTTTGACCTGTCGTCCTTCATACAGGGCAGCTAGAATCCCCAGATGAAGCCACACTGAAAAATCCTAGAATGGAGAGGGAAGATGTTGACACTGTTAGCCTCTCTGCCTAGGGCCCAAGAGAAGGGAAAAGACTGCCCATGAAAGAGGCACACACATAAAGATGATACCCGGATTATAGATGGCAACTTCCCCTCCTCACTCCCATTGCTTTGAGTTGATTCTACATCTCTCACTTTTAAGCATTTCACACACAATATTGGGTCAGAATGGTTTAGATCAGCATTACTGGAAAGTTCGACAGGAAGTAAATCAGAACATTTGCAACAGCAATGCGTGGGCCAGTAAATTGCAAATGAAGTCAGTGGTTCCTTGTAGAGTCAAACGTAATCAGTTTAAAGAACTTCCCTTTATTCTGATATTATATCCTTCTTACTTCTTCAGTGATAATACAAATGTTTCCTTTCCTTTCTATCTTTTAAAATAAAATGTTGGTAAGAATAGATGGTCAGTATCTTTTTAGGATCACTTTTCTTCCCATGTCATTGTATTGCCAAGTACATTGGCAGCCCTATTTGGTTCATAACTTTTTTTCCTGAAATCACACTAGTCAGTGAAATCCAAAAATATGGACAATACTGGGTTTAATGATTTCTGGAGGTTCTTTCCAATCTTATGGTGCCAAGACTCTACTGGTAAGAAAGCAGGAGCACAAACTCAGAGTTGGGAACACACACCCCAAGCCCCAGGCAAATGCAGATATGCGAACATACTTTGAAAACTCTTGCAACTTACTCAGCTAAATAAGGCCAGTGATCTTCCTTGGTATCTTTCAGCTACAAAATATAAATTTTTCAATTTCATTTGTTTGTTTCTTGCAACAAATTCATTCTCTCTGGGGATGTGGCCTGTGTGGTGGGGAGACTACTAGAGTCAGACTCAAGCTGAGCCTCCATGGTCTGTTTGTGAGTCTAGGGATATGGTGGTGAAGATGAAGGGGACAGGAGTAAATCACAGAAAACAATGGCAGACATCCCTGGGCTTTCATTTCTTCACATGGCTCCTAACAAGATTGGGCTTCTGGAGGCAGAGAAGGATGAAATATCTTTTATTTTTCTTAGTATCCCTAAAACAAAGTGACAAAAAGAAGTAGCCCAGTAAAGGGTCATTGCTACAGTCCCCAACTCCAGGGCTATGGCCGAGTATAAGTCCATGGAAAAATTGTCTTCTGTGAAACTTAGGAACAGGGCTGCACAGCAAGAGATGAGCAGCTGTGAGCAAGGAAGGCTTCATCTGTATTTGGACGGGGAGTCGATGCCACTCCCCATTATTCGCATCACCGCCTGAGCTTCCTCCACCCCCACCCCCGCCGTCCGTGGAAATGTTGTCTTCCATGAAACCAGCCCCTGGTGCCAAAAACATTGGCACTGCTGGGTCATTGCATAGCTAAGTGAACCTTGCACGGAATGTGTGAGGACAGAGACATGACATGGTAATTGAGCGGGACGAGAGAGATCCCCATACCCCCACTGCCACTTCCCCCTCTCATGCATCTGCCCTCACCACCTGCATATCTGCTTACACAGCACAAAGGATGTGCTTTGTGCTTGTCTGCACAGACTGTAGCTATAGAAAAGTGAATCTAGGAAGCGAGAGGAAAGTACCTCCTCTTCTGTCTGGGAAGACTTATGAATGAATATATATTAGAGAAACAGAACAAATAGGTTGTACAGAGAGTCCCCAACTTACAAAGGTTCGACTTACAATTTTTCAATTTTATGATGGTGCAAAAGTGATACATTCATTCTGTTTTTCACTTTCAGTACAGTATTCAGTAAATCACATGAGATATTCAACACTTTATTATAAAATAGGCTCTGTGATAGATGATTTCACTCAACTGTAGCCTAATGTAAGTGTAATGTAAGTGTTCTGAACACATTTAAAGGTAGGTTAGCCTAAGCTATGGTGTTTGGTAGGTTAAGTGTATTAAATGCATTTTTGACTTATGATATTTTCAACTTATGATAAGTTTATCAGGATGGAACTTCATCGTAAGTTGTAGCACACCTGTACATAAAGATATTTATTATGAGGAATTGGCTTATGTGATTATGGAGGCTGAAAAGTCCCATAATCTGTTGTCTGCAAGCTGGAGACCCAGGAAAGTCAGTCATGTAGTCCCAGTCCAGGTCCAAAGGCCAGAGAACCGGGAGAGTCAATGATGAAAATTCTAATCCAAGTCCAGTCCAAGGACAAGCAGACCAATGTCCCAGTTCAAGCAGTCAGGAAGAGAGAGAATTCTCCCTTCCTCTGCCTTTTTGTTCTAGTCAGGCCCTCAATGGCTTGGACAATACCTGCCCACATTGGGGAGAGCCATCTGCTCTACTCAGTCCACTAAGTCAAACACTAATCTCTTCCAGAAACATCCTCACACACACACACCCAGAAATAATGTTTAATCAAATATCTGTGCATCCCGTGGCCCCGTCAAGCTGACATATAAAATTAAAGATCACAGGGTGTAATGCTCAGCAGTGCACATCACAGTGACCATGTTTATTTTTTTCCACAGTGAGGTCACCACAAACTCCCTGGAGAAAATCCTTCCACAGCTGAAATGCCATTTCACCTGGAACTTGTTTAAGGAAGAAGGTGTCTCAGATGATCTAGAAGACAGAATATGTAACCAGATTGAATTTTTAAACACTGAGTTCAAAGCTACCATGTACAACTTGCTGGCCTACGTAAAGCACCACAAAGGCCAGAACAAAGCGGCCCTGGAATGCTTACGACACGCTGAAGAGTTGATCCAGCAAGAGCATGCTGACCAGGCTGAAATCAGAAGCCTGGTCACCTGGGGAAACTACGCCTGGGTGTACTATCACATGGGCCGGCTCTCCGAAGCTCAGATTTACGTAGACAAGGTGAAACAAACCTGTGAGAAGTTTTCAAATCCTTACAGCATTGAGAGTCCCGAGCTTGACTGTGAGGAAGGGTGGACACGGCTAAAGTGTGGAAGAAATGAAAGGGCAAAGGTGTGTTTTGAGAAGGCTCTGGAAGAAAAACCCAACGACCCAGAATTCTCCTCTGGACTGGCCATCGCGATGTACCATCTGGACAGTAACCCACAGAAACAGTTCTCTGCCGACGCTTTGAAGCAGGCTGTTGAGCTGAGTCCCGACAACCAGTATGTCAAAGTTCTCTTGGCCCTGGAACTGCAGAAGATGAATAAAGGCACTGAAGGGGAGCAATTGGTCAAAGAGGCCCTGGAGAAGGCTCCTTGCCAGACAGATGTCCTTCGCAGTGCAGCCAAATTTTACAGAAGAAAAGGTGACCTAGACAAAGCTATTGAATTGTTTCTAAAGGCCTTGGAATCCACACCCAACAATCGCTACCTCTGTCACCAGATTGGATGCTGCTACAGGGCAAAAGTCAGACAACTGCAAAATGCAGGAGAATCTGAAGCTAGTGGAAATAGAGAGAAGATTGAAGAACTGAAGCAATATGCTATGGACTATTCGAATAGAGCTCTTGAGAAGGGACTAAATCCTCTGAACGCATACTCCAATCTCCCCAAGCTCCTGGAAGCAGAAGAATGTTACCAGATAGTGTTCGGTAAGGAGCTCCCCAACGCTGAGAGGCAACCACTCCATCAACAGCACCATTGCAACGGTCAGGAGTATCACGGGAAGTCTGAAGACACTGCTATCGAGCATTGTTTAGAGGGTTTGTCCATAAGCAAAAATTCAACTGAGAAGGAAGAGATGAAACACCAGCCACAGAACACAGCTGGAAATCTGCTTCCACCAAATGCACCAAATTCTTGGTATCTTCGAGGATTAATTCACAAGCAGAATGGAGATCTGCAGCAAGCAGCCGAATGTTATGAGAAAGAGCTGGGCCGCCTGCTCAGGAACGCCCCTTCCGGCATAGGCAGCTTTTTCCTATCAGCTTCTGAGCTTGAAGATGGCAGTGAGGAGACGGGCCGGGGCGCAGTTGGGTCCAATCCCTGAGGGCTCCCCAGCTCCTGAACTGAGTCAGAGAGGAGAGAAACAGGGCATCACAAGGCCTGCGATGGTGGTTGTGAGGAACAGAAGAGTAGGAAGGCAGGGGGCCCCCACCTGGGGTTGTGGAGGGGCGTGGTCTTGCATGTTGCTCTGAGAGTTGTTTAGAGAGTTGTTTTCTCATGTTCTGTCTCCCCAGTTCATTCCAGCCACACAGTTATCTAATCAGGTCTTATGACTAGTCACTAGTAGCGACAGTGCTTCAGGCCTACGTGATGCCGATTAGTTCTCAGTTTGCGCTCAGTTCACCACATAACCCCCATTTCTGCCCTTCTTGCCGACGGCCATAAGTGGAGACCGCCTAGCTACAAAATCTTCCACCTTCACTCCCTCCATCTCATTTCCATCCAGCCTGCTGGGCCTGGAAGATTCACTTTTGACTAACCCTGCAATATCCCTTATGTCTTTCTTTTGGCTTCAGCCACACATTTATATGTATTCTTTTTTTAATATATGTGTTTTGATAGTGATACTTTAAAAACTATGTATTCTTGATTGCACTGCTATAATAAATCTAAAAATTTTAACTCACAGTAGAGGTAATTGTGTGGTTTGTGTATGGGACTATGGCAATAATATTAATTCCCAAAGTCTCTCCTACTGGGGACAGTGGATAACTGCAAAGCCATGCCATGCTAGTTTGACATGTCCATTTTAGCTCCTCCTCAGAGGTAATACTCTTACCCCTGTAGCCAGCCCATCCTTAGACTATGGGAACTATGATTCTAGTTCCCGCCCAAGAGCCCCAGCTAAGCCCAGTGCCGAGTTAGCAGGGCTGCTGTTGATCAAGGTTGCTGTGCTCCCAGGCATATCTGGGTGAATGCCTCCCTGACAGAGTGTGAGGAACACCAGTGCTAGGGTGGCCTTAAGGACAGAGGTCCATCCAGGCCTGCAATATCCCCTTCAAAACTTCAGGCATCTGACATGGTAAGCTCCATTTTGTTCAGATAAAAGTCAGACTTAGGCCAGGCAGAGTTGTTCATGACTGTAATCCCAGCACTTTGGGAGACCAAGGCGGGAGGATCGCTTGAGGCCAGGAGTTTAAGACCAATCTCAGTAACATAGTGAAACCTCGTGATGTAATGAATGTTAAAAACTAAGAAGGGAGGAGGGTGGGAGGGGAGTGAAGGATAAAAATCTACCTATCAGGTACAACGTACACTATTCTAGAGATGGGTACACTAAAAGCCCTGACTTCAGCATTATACAATTCATCCATGTATCAAAAATCATTTGTACCCCCTAAATCTATTGAAATTTTTTAAAAAATTAAAAATGGATATATTCTACTCTGAAAAAAAGAATGAGCCAGGTGTGGTGGTGCACACCTGTAGTTCCACCTACTCGGGAGGCAGAGCCAGGAGGATCACTTGAGCCCAGGAGTTTGAGGTTGCAGTGAGCTATGATCATGCCACTACACTCCAGCCTGGGTAACACAGCAAGACTCTATCTCAAAAACAAAACAAAACAAAATAAAACAAACAAACAAACAAAAAGGCAGACCTGGGCGACAGGGGTCTCTTAAACTCATGGGGATCAGTCTCCTTGGACTTTAAGATTTTCCTCTGCATTCCGTTTTGATTCACTTGTGAATGTAATATCTAGTCACAAGGATATAAACAGAAAAGTAAAAGCACATAAGTAAGATGATCATTTGAACACTTTCCTTTTAAATTCCTTTTCTCCTAGATTGGGAATTAATGTAACATTTGAAATAAATGCTGGAACGATTCCTTAGCTGATTTAACATCTGGAAACTCGTTAGTAGGTTTGCGAGTGGTAGAAAGACTGTGTCCCTAAATGAGTTTATCTCTCTGAATTTAGAATTTAGACCCTATACCAAGAACCTGCACACAGCAGCCCTCTAATATTTGCAGATGTAACATATGCACCTTGGACCATTTCCCAACTCAAAGATCCAGACCTGTTAGGGATATTGAGTTTTGCCCAAGGCTTAATACCATATAAGAGGCTAAGGCAGTACACCATGGTAACTACAGTTAATAACAATATGTTGCATACTTAAAAACTGCTAAGAAATTAGATTTTAAGTGTTCTCATCACAAAAAAAAAATGATAAGTATGTGAAGTAATGCATACGTTAAATAACTTGATTTGGCCAGTGCACGATATATGCATATAGCAAAACATCATGCTGTACACCATAAATATGTACAATTTTTAATTGTCAACTAGAAAAAAAATGCTAAGGGGGTAATTATAGCTAACGAATAAACTTACCCAGTAGGCCCAGTATTCATTGCCATGGCAAGTGTCCTCTGCCCATCATCATTTATACAACAATACCAATGAAATGCTATGTGTAATCTCAAGAATACCATAGATCATCTCTCTTAAGATATTATAAGATGGGGAAAAGGTCAAAAAAACCAACCCACCAAGAAATATGAGTGTGTATGAAAACCACTGTGCCATCTCAAGGACAGTGATTAGTAGTTGCTATAATAAAATTTTCTCACTGAAAAATACTAGAAACTACTTGAAAATAAGCATAATTTTAGAAGGTAATTAATTCCACATTTGAGTATATGGAGCTCAAAGCAATTTTACCATATTCTCTCTCTCAGCATGACTTTCCTATAGATTATGAAGACATGGAAGAAATTATTAATATTATTGTCTCTTCCACACATAGAGATGTAGGGAAATGAAAGCACAATGTGTCAGTTATCCATCATGGTATAACAAACCATCCCAGAATTTGTGGCTTAAAACAATAACCATTTTATTTATTTATATTTATTGGGTTAGAAAGGTGGGAGGGGCTCAGCTGAAGGGTTATTCTGTCAGTTCTACCCGGAGTCACTTACAACGCTACCATCAGCCAGTGACTTGGCTTGATCTGAGTGATCTAAAATGGTGTCACTCACATGACTGGTGGTTGGTACCACGTGTTAGCTGGGTCTTTCTCTCCATGTAGCCTCTCATCCCCAAGGATGCAAGCCTGGGCTTCTTCACATGGCAGTCTCTAGTCAGCAAAAGAATGAAAGAGAACAGAAGCTGCAAAGCCTCTTGTAACCTTGGTTCAGAACACCCACAATGGCACTTCTGCCACATTCTGTCAGCAAATGCAAGTGTCAAGGCCAGCCCAGATTGAAGGGAACCCACCTTAACACTAATCAACACCTTTTGTCTTATAATACAAATTCCGAAACAGCCAAGAGAAGGAAGCCATGTTCCCTAAATATTCACTTCAGTGTTTTGTTAGCAACTAAACAATTGTTTAATTGGATCATCAGTTTTTCTCGGGAACTCAGGAAGTTTTATCTTTTTTTGATGCGATGAGACTCTCTGCAGAAACTTAAGGAATCATCAATGACCTGGAGTTCAGGGCAGGCTGGGAGAAGAAAGCAATGACAGAGGTGATGAAAAGAAACCCAGGAACAAGGACTGGCAAATCAGATCTATAGGATCTGTATCATTGAAATGGAAAATCCCATAGTTTTCTTGACCACAAATTTCAAAGGAACCTTGCTCCAGAAGAACACAGAGTTTGTTTATAGACTTAATTAATAGATATTTGACTGTTAATTCAGTTAATTCTTAATGACTCAGGCACACTGATTTGTATAGGACGCCCTGACTCAATCAGAATGGACACGTATGTAGGATGGTGAACCACACAGAGCTCAGAGCTGGGGGCTGGGGCGAAAGAGGAACTTGGCATTCTGAGAGGGTGAAAGGGAGGCTCTATTTAGGTTCATTCTGACAAAGTCAAAGCAATTAAAAGAAAAAACTGGGGGAAATAGTCTTACACTTTGTTCCTCATTTATTATATACTTGAAAAGCAAGGTGACTTAAAATTTTCTTTGTTTGATTTTTTTAAACCCCTTCTTTTCACTAGATGTTAGAAAATGTAATAGATAAGATTATAAAGTTGAGAGTTTCCAATGGACCAGACCCTGAGGTGTGCATTTTAATTCAGGCTTATAAACTTTAAGTAAAGGTGAGATAAATCATACCTCAGTTGCTTAAGTCTATTCTATGTAATACTCCATTCAAAATATTCTTTTTTTTTACAGAGATGGAGTCTCACTCTGTCTTGGACAACGTACAGTGGCACGACCATAGCACACAGCAGCATCGAACTCCTGGGCTCAAATCATCCCCCCACTTTAGCTTCCTGAGTAGCTGGGATTAGAGGCATGAGCCACCGTACCCAGCTCCATTCAAAATATTCTGTTTGAAAGTTTTTATACAAAGTATGCCACCCAACAACACAGAATCCCACTCCTAACTCCTGCCTGGCTGATCCCAACTTATATTCCAGCCCTATACGGGAGCTACTTGATTCCTTCCAAACTAGGAGACCCTGGCCCTCTCTAAGACTTTTGCTGAGAATAAAAGTAACCTCCCCATCTTCCTGCTCCTTAAACAAGTGGAGATTTATGGCAATTATCCAAAAGGAAACAGTATGCCAGAAATACAGTTGCTGGGTTAGAGCAAGTGACTTTGTTTTCTGTACCCATCCCAGACCCAGCATCCTCCTTTCAGGTGGAGTTAAGAAAGAAATGCAGACCTTGGTGACTGCCGGTGAAGTGAGTTGCATTCTGGAGCCCCTGACAGTGTCTTTGTCCAGCTCAGTTTCATGTTTTCTGCAGAATCAGGAGCTGACAATCAAAATGACCCTTAATTCACATTTGAGATGGAAAATTAATTGAGAATCATTGGATTAAGAATCCAGACAAACCCTCTTATTTAAGTAAGGCTTAACCCTTGAGGAACGAAGCCTCATGGAGATTAACAATTTTATCAAGATCACCCAGCTGGTCTCAGTTACAGAGTTTATCCTGAATCTAATTCAAGTAGGAAGCCTGTTCAATGAGAATAAATTTCCACCTCCAGTTTCCATTGTTTTTCAATATTTATAAACTCATGCACACTTCATCAGCTGTTTCTTTTCTCCTTAACACTGCTTCATTCTGTGTGTTCTGGGTCTGTTTATCCCCAGGACGTATGTTGCAGCTAAAGCACTGTTAGCTTTGTGCCTGATTCTAGAAGGGCAGGCCATGCTCTCCAGGGAGCACTGCCAAGGCAGAGAGCCTGTACAAATCGGGATTAAGGATGCTTGCTGCTTAGCAACTGAATTAGGAACTCAACACAAGGCTTGTCCATGCCCTAAGGAACCACTGCAACTCAAGGGAATTTCTGGACCCTCCAAATGTGTTTGAACAAATGCATACTCTGGGAGAGTGTGGAGCTGCTGCACCGCATTTTATAGTGGTTCATGTAGAGGCTCTTTATACATACATATATATATATATATATATACTCTGGGAGAGTGTGGAGCTGCTGCACCGCATTTTATAGTGGTTCATGTAGAGGCTCTTTATACATACATATATATATATATATATATATCCACCAACATAGGTACCTGACCAGCCAACTCA